AAGGGACAAGGATCGGTTTGTTTTAGTTTCTTTGATATCAGCTTTTTTCATGGTGATAATGGTGTCGTTCAGAGATCGCAAAGACAAAGACAAGGATAGGGATCAGAGAAAAGATCGGAACTATTTTGACTCAAAGGATGATCGCTCCAAGAGAGATGACCGAGATAGGAGGGATAGGGATCGCGATAGGTGCTGCTTATATAGTTACTTAAACCTATTTTTATCATGCTAGTTCCCCTTCCCTTGGGCATCTAGCTGACAAGAAAAATGGTCATTCCAGACGTGGTGGCCGCGATTTCGATCGCCGCGATGATCGTCGTGATCGTGACAGAGAGCGTGATCGCGAACGTGATCGCGAAAAAGAGCGTGAACGCGAAAAGGAACGTAAAGAGAGGGAGGAGCGAGACAAAGAGAAACGATTAGAGGAGAAAATTGAGAAAAGAAGAAAAGAGGCTGAAATGGGAGGGTAGGTTTTTTGAGATTCGAGTTTTGGATATTTCATGGAACATTTTCAGCTATGATGAGTGTTATCCTGGTGGAATGGCTGAATTAGGTGGAGGTTGGGATTCTGATGAAGAAGATTTGACTATGATGGATATGGGGTCAAAGAAATCCACGATTAAACGATGGGAATTTGATAACGACGACGATTATGAGAAATTCCAGGTAATTTCTTTGTCCCATCTAGCTAAAGTCTAGGCCGTAATTATGATTCTTCAGGGCTCGCGAGAAGCTATGCCAAAAGCTGCCTATCAGTATGGTGTCAAGACAGGTGATGGTAGAAAGACAAGAAAGAGTGTGGATGTGAACAAGAAGATCGATAAAGAGCTGAATCAGATCAACAAATTGATTGAAAAACGCAAAAGCGGACTGGAAGATGACAGGTATGAGATTGCGTCTGTTCTGCATCTCTTTGCCAATATTTGCTTCCATTTTCAGGGAGTACAAGCGTCCGAAGTTCTAAGGAAGAACTTTTTCAGCATGTATTTTTTTGACTTGAATCCATATACTGTTTGCTAGTTATTGTGGTGTGACCCTGTATGAATACAATAAATAAAGATGTATAGCAAGTCTACTTTGAATCTGATAAAAAGGATAAAGAATTGGACGTCTTCAATACCTTCTGCGGGCATGCGTCCAAAACACACTATTTCATAGTCGAAGAGGGAACTATATGCGTGTGAGCCATTCGCATACTCGAGGCCAGCCGATTACCAAGTCTGTGTTTTTATCCTCCCAGAAATTACTCTGGTATCAATTTATCGTACCGGAGTAATTCTGGGAGTATAGCTTGGTCGGCCCAGCAATTGCGCAGTTTGTAAGAAAATTGCGAAATGAGCAAGACGACCCTTAAACGCCAGCTGACTCGTTTCTTTCGCAAATCGGTCCCAAATGCTAGTTAAAGAAAGAAGTATGCCACGAAATGACACAGGTTGAACCATCGAAGGCAGATGCAACATTCCTTCGCCATATCGACTGTGTATTAAAACGATTACAGCTGCAGAATGAGTAGTGGAGCCACCAGCGAACGCCTACATAAAATCATTCATCGTTGGTCATGTGTGTCACTGTCACTTACACTTATTGCCTGTGTTGCCATTCAATATTCTTTTCTTTCCTTGTATGAAGGATGTTTTTGATATTCTACTGATTTACATCTGTTACTCATGCATCTCAGTCACAACATAGTGTATTCGCACTACAGGTAAAATGCGGTAAATTTGCGCGTGAACAAATAGCTGCACTAGTAATGCCGG